CATGTTTAAACAAGGTATCTTTCATACAAAGCTGTATATATACTGTTCGCAGTAGGAAAACAGAAGGCAGTAGTCAGCAAACAGCATTTATACCCTAAAGCCTGTGGGGCCTTTAGGACCATATAACATATACCTGTTCTCTAAATTACTGACTACTTACATCCAAAATATTCTGATGCTGCAAAGTTTACTGTGATCTGTAACAGAAATAGCAAGTTTAAAATGAACGATGAAGCATTGCTTGAAGAAAAAGATTTTGCAGGCATCACCCGGCGCTGAGCACAGCACTACTTATTTGCCTTCAGTTCATTGGCAATTTCTGAAGCCTGATTTTGGTGCTGTTGCATTAACAGGAAAACTTTTTAAGCAGAATAAATGCTGCTGTTCTTCGTATTATTATAAACCTAATGCTGCTCAGTGGAAAAACAACGGCTTTACCAGTGCAGAGTGCACTGTGCCAAGTATTTGTAAAAAGACAGTGTCAATATCCTTCTTCATTTGTATTTCCAATTTTTCCTCATTTACTTATTTTCTGAAAGAGTGGTCAGGCACCGGAATGGATGCCCAGGGAGGTGGTGGAGTCAGCAACCCTGGAGGTGTTCAAGGAACGTTTGGACGTTGTGTCGAGGGATGTGGTTTAGTGAGTGCTATTGGTGATGGGTGCATGGTTGGACTGGATGATCTTGAAGGTCTTTTCCAACCTTGGAGTTTCTGTGATTCTGTGATTTTATGCAGAAGCAATTTTCATATTCTTAAGCAGACACATTAGGTAAAGCACTGTCGCCATGCAGTCAGTAGGACTGTTGACAGTGCCAGGATCGCCATGAATGCCTTCATGGGAGCATGCCACAAGGAACAGCTGTTTCCTGGCTGCATCCCAAAAACTCACCAAATCTCTGACCTCATAGAACTAGCCATACGGGCTCCTAGTAGAAGACGTGCCATTCAGGATTAAACTGCCCTCTCCTCTCCTGTATTCCAGTAAAAAAACCCATTCTGTCCTCCTCCTGTTTTACTGCCTTCTGTGCCTCACAGATAATACTAATAACTACTTTTAAGAGCTCTGCACCGACTCTGATTTTTATGTTGTTGTTCCAGACTCTGCTATAGTGCTGCTACTGACTATGGCTGTGATGAAGATACCTGACACTTCATCTCTTGTCTTGTTACATAAAAGCAAATGTCCCTTTCAGTATCTTTCAAAAAAAAAAAAAAAAAATCTGATTTTCACTTGTATGCACAATGTTTTACAAACAAATTGAAAGAATTTGTATCAGATTGTCTCAGTGTAAAGAGAAATGATTCTTAAAGGTGATTTTGGAGAGATGATGGCCCAAAGTATTGCTCTGTCAGCTTAAGCCTGTATCTTTTCCTTTGCTTGATGATTACCTATGTTCTCAGTAAAAATTCAGGATTCTGTCACATTGTAATACTGATCTATATAGGTATTGCCTTAAATCAGGCTCTCACATCCTTCAGCAAGCCCCAACTCTTACCAAAGCTTTGCTCACTGCGTCACTAGAGCTGCAGATCTCAAGCTGCAGCCATCCTCCAGCAGCAGAGACATTCGAGGTGGGTTACTTAAGGCAAGATTAGTTGGGTAGAAAATTTAAATACACATGGATAATTCATGTTGGATTGCAAACGGCAATGGCAGGGAGCAGCAGACACTTCTTGGTCTCTTAATATATGAGGAGAGAGAGTAAAAGAATTTGCTAAGGCTGAAGTTTTCATCTATCATGGCACTGAGGAACAGAACTATGCTGACAAAGCTGAGCTGAGAGATTTACAGTGTGGTCCTTCCATGAAGAGACGTCAAGAGGGGAGCCCACCACAGCGCAGTGCCAGCCAAACCAGTCAGCTGGCAGCCATCAGGAAACCTGTGCAGATACAGTGCTGTGGGTGGCACGGAGTGGGGAACCAAGTAAAATATTGGGTGAAACAAGAGCATTCTGGGAATAAAATTATTTGAAAGAGCCTCTGTTGGCAAACATGGACTGAGGACAAATGCCAAGCAAGCTCAGCTGAAGAATCACAGAAACACAGAATCACAGAATGGCCAAGCTTGGAAGGGACCTCAAGGAATCTCCATGAATCTCCAACCCCCTGCCACATGCAGGGCCACCAACCTCCCCGTTTAATACCAGACCAGGCTGCCCAGGGCCCCATCCAACCTGGCCTTGAACACCTCCAGGGATGGACAGGGCATCCACAGCCTCTCTAGGCAGCTGTTCCAGCACCTCACCACTCTCATAGCAAAGAATTTCCTCCTGACATCCAACTTAAATCTTCCCTCCCTCAACTTAAAACCATTTCCCCTTGTCCTGCAGTTTTGTTGAAACAGGGTGCTCTAACCTCTTACTCCAGAACTGCAGTTCCCAACTACTTTCTTTAAGCACATCTAGAGGGGAATGAGGCTTGAAACCCACTGTCACAGCATTTCCACGCAGCTGGCCTTTGGCACTGCCTGCAGGTTCTGTTTGCAGTGCCTGCCTCCCAGTGGGTTAGGTGGTATGGGTTCCTGAGAGCATACAAGTGTGCTTAAGGACAGGGAAAGGCCCTTTAGGATAGAACAGAGTATACTGAAGAAAAGTCGTAGGATCATGGGTAGCCTGTGTCAGTGCCTCACCACCCTCACAGAAAAGGATTTCTTCCTAATGTCTAATCTGAACATCCCCTCTTTTCAGTTTAAAGCTACTCCCCTTTATCACTATCAGACTGTGTAAAAAGTTGGTCTGTCTGCTGCCTGTAAGCTCCCTTCACGTATTGGAAGACCACAATGAGGTCTCCCTGGAGCCTGCTCCTTTCCAAGCTGAATATGCCCAATTCTTTCAATCTTTCCTCATAGAAGAGCTGTTCCAGCCTGTCATTCATCATTGTGTCACTCCTCTGGACTCACTCCAACAGCTCTGCATCCTTCTTACGCTGGGGTTCCAGGCCTGGATACAGTACTCCAGATGGAACCTCACGAGGGCAGAACAGAGGAGGGCAGTCACTTCCCTTTCACTGCTGCCATCCCTCTGCTGATGCAGCCCAGGATACTGCTGGCCTTCCAAGCTGCAAAAGCACACTGCTGGCTCATGTCCAGCTTTTTGTCCATCAAGACCCCCAAGTGCTTCTCTGCAGGGCTGCTCTCAAGGAGTTCTTCTCTCAGTCTGTATTCACATCAGAGATTGGCTCGATTCAAGTGCAAACCTTTCACTTGGCCTTGCTGGACCTCGTTATGTTCCCATGTGCCCACTTTTCAAGCGTGCTCAGGTCTTTCTGGATGGCGTCTGTCCCTTCTGTTGTGTCATCTGCACCACGCAGTTTGGTGTCAAACGCAAAGCTGCAGAGGGTGCAAGTCCCTGTGATGAGCATAGCCTTAATGATAACCCGTAACTATCACTGTCCCAAGCAGTGTCTTGAGAGCGTTTACAGAATATTATACGACTGACAAACACAGAAAAAAGAACAAAAATTAAACCAATGAGTCAGCAACCAAAACCCAGCCCAGAGGAAGCAGAGTGGGAGCTGAGTGGTGTTCACTGCTCTGAACATCCTTTCATGACCCAGGTCCATTGAGGCCATGTGCCCATACACCTGGAGGTGCACTGTGTCTGTGGAGTCCAAGCAGCTTCCTTTGCTCTGCTGAAGCCCAAGCCAGACCAGCTATCTAAACACAAACACTCCACATGTTTGGAAACATTTTAGATTTGCAATTAAGCTCAGAAAATGCTAATATAAATAGGTTGGATTAGGCTAAGCTTTTGTGCTTCAGTTTTCTATAAAAGGTCTAACGCTTCTTCAGCTTATTCAGCCTGGAGAAAAGAAGGCTGCGGGGTGACCTCACTGCAGCCTTTCAATACCTAAAGGGAGCCTACAAACAGGAGGGGAATCAACTCTTTGAAAGGGTAGATAACAGCAGGACGAGGGGAAATGGTTTGCAGTTGAGGGAGGGAAGATTTAGGTTGGATGTCAGGGGGAAGTTCTTTAGAGAGAGAGTGGTGAGGTGCGGGAACAGCTGCCCAGAGAGGCTGTGGATGCCCCATCCATCCGTGGAGGTGTTCAAGGCCAGGTTGGATGGGGCCCTGGGCAGCCTGGGCTGCTATGAAATGGGGAGGTTGGTGGCCCTGCATCCCTTCCAACCCTGGCCATCCTGTGATTCTGTAAAAACAAAGCCAGAGTCCTGCAGCCTGACCACAGCAGTAAGGCCATCCAGCAGGGATAGAAAGGGTTCTCTGTCCAGAGAGATCCAAGCCCAGTATTTTCTGCTTGGTATCTCAGCTCCTGCTTAATTCCGGGTGAAACTCTCCTAGTCTGCATGGCACAGTCATAAATGAGACCAAGAAGAGCTAAGACGCTTCGGCAGAGCCATGTTTAGAGAGCTTGGAACAGTTTCCCAATGAATAAGTCACAACCATCCTAGTTTATACAGCACGCGGAAAGCACTGGATGATAGCTGAAATATTTATATTTAAGAGGCATAAATGTTGATTAATAACGAGGTGTACATATTTTTGCATGCAAAGCCTTCGTGGACAGCAGCGGGAATCTGAACTCTGCCCGCCTGCTTTGGCTGGTGTGATCTCTGCAGTCTGATGACTGCTTCCACGAAATAAGATGTGAGGAGACCCGGTGTCCATACTCGCTATGCACGAGGTTCTACCGTGCTGCAATCCAGCTGCATCCTGGATGCACGCGGAAAAGTTTCACGAAACGCTTCGAAATTCACAAAGCGCGGCGGGACGCGCAGCACCCGCTCTTTTCCAAGGCACGCACGGCTGAGGTCGTCTCGCAGAACAGCCCAGAGGAAGGGAGGGAGGCCGGGCGGGAGGCGGGGGGCGGCCCGACACGCCGGCGGGGCGATGCCCGGAGGCCGGCCCGTCCCGCGCGGTGCCGGGGCCGCTACCTCCGCTCTCGGCGCGGCTTTTAAGGGCGGCGCGGCGTGAGCCGAGCGCAGAGCTCCTGGCCCGCAGCGGCGTTTGGGGCGGCCCCGCGGGGCGCCCATGGGGCGGGGGCTGCGCGGCGCCGGCCGGCCCTAGGCTGCACGCAGCATGCCGGCGCTGCGCCTGCTGTGGTTCGGCTGCCTGTGCAGCCTGTGCCTCGGGTACTTCGAGGGTCCGCTGTACCCCGAGATGTCCAACGGCACCCTACATCACTACTTCGTCCCCGACGGGGACTACGAGGAGAACGACGACCCCGAGCGCTGCCAGCTGCTCTTCAGGGTGAGCGAGCAGCGGCGGTGCGGCGCGGCAGCAGCGGGCGAAGGGCTGAGCCTGCGGGAGGAGCTGACGGTACTGGGCCGGCAGGTGGAGGACGCGGGTCGGGTGCTGGAGGGCATCGGCAAGAGCATCTCCTACGACCTGGACGGGGAGGAGAGCTACAGCACCTACCTGCGCCGCGAGTCCGCCCAGATCAGCGACGCCTACTCCAGTTCGGACCGCTCGCTCAGCGAGCTGGAGGGCAAATTCCGGCAGGGCCAGGAGCAGGGCGGCCGCGAGGAAGCCCGCTTGGGCGACAGCTTCCTGGGGCTGCTGCTGCACGCCCGCGCCCTGCTCCGCGAGACCCGTGCCATCTCCAGCGGGCTGCGGGACAAGCACGACCTGCTGGCCCTCACCGTGCGCAGCCACGGCGCCCGCCTCAGCCGCCTGAAGAACGACTATCTGCGGGCCTGAGCTCGCAGCCTGCAGCCCAGGATGCCCCCCCCCCGGCCGCCCCGAAAACGCGTATTTATTGTATAGGACCTCCCGAGTGAACGGCAGGTTTGTGTTGAGTAGAAGGGTGGAGGTACATCTAAAAAGTTGCCCCGTATCGTAGCCTGCAACGGACGGAGCGTTCTCCTCTTCCAGCGTCGGCTCTCGGCTCGCCGTGACACCCGCGTGTGCAGCAGGAGCGCAGACTCCTCCCGTTGTTACTCTCGTTCGGGGCGAACCCTCTGTTAACTCCTAACCTTGTGTAACGGCATGTATTGTACTCATGTAAAGCATTGTTCTGCTGCGTAACTCCAAACTGCGACTTCCATCTGCATTCGGGATAGCCGGGATCTTATTCTGGCAGGGTCTGTGCTCCTCGCGGCTTTGCTTATCGGTGGCTCTAAGCAATTGGAACCCCAGAGCCAGCCAAAAAGGCTGATGTCAGATCCCAGGAATGCCGGTTTTATAGCAAGAAGAAGGAGCCCTAGCGGTGATTGCAGTCTCAGGTCCCAAATTCAGAGCCTGGTTTCTCAGAGCATGTTTCTAAAGCAGACAGAAGGTTTTGGTCTGTTCCAGTGTAGCGACGTTTCCCATTGGTGCCTTTGTACTTTTGCTAGCTAAGCTATTAATAAACCTATTCGTGCTCCTGGACAATAGCAGAAGTGCCTGGTGGGAAGGAGGGGGAGGATTGTTTGGGTTCTCACACTCCTTGCTATGTAATCTTCAATTTGGGGTAATGTGGCTACTGGATTACAGACAGTGCAGGCAGCATCGCTGCTTGGATGAGAGAAGTTTGTGTTGTTTTAATAAACGTTTGAAAACCGTGTTAAGGCACGCTGTTCTTGTGCCCGTCTGCTTGAGACGCTCTTGATTTAAAACATGCTGGTGTAATGTGCCTCTCAGCAAAAAAAAAGAAAAAAAAAAATGTGATTGTGAGCATGTAGATCCTGCCAAACTAAATAACTCGCTTTTTAGTGCAAACAAATAAAAGTTTACAGACTCAAGAGGTAAGCAAGTTTCATTAAAAGGAGCTATGTTATTGCAGTGGTCTTTTCCAACCTTAATGATTCTATAATAACGATACCGAAGAGCGCACAGGGCTCTTTCTGGATTTTGTAAGCCTTTTTGAAAAGCCAGTGTATGAAACTAGCAACCACACAGCAACGAAAGAGAAGCTGCTTTTTGAGCGTTTGAGGTCTGATCCTGCTGCCTCTACCCCCATTCAGTTCTACGCTGGCCTGCAGACCATCTGGCTGGCTGAGCCCCTCGGAGCTGGTGGGGGTCAGTGTATGTCACCTGAGCATCAAAGGCATTGGGAGATGTCTCACAGAGGTATGCGCTTACAGGGCCTGGGGGCCATCCCATTTATCTCAAAGGTAGGGAGACGTAGCAGTGCCCAAGCAGGATATTATAGGGTGTCTGTGCGCCTTTAGACTCTTAGTGTCTTTGAAGATCTGGAAACATTGAAACATTGCATTGGTTGAGTTCAGTGGAACTACCCAGCGTTATTTTCACGGATGCTTTCAAGGGAGAAAGTGTGACAGGTTCTAGCTGTGAAAAAAATTGTTTATTTGTCATACTTTCCTTGCCATTAAGGCCGGATAGAAAAACACGGGAGCACAGAGGGCCATCACTAAATCTAGTTTGCTCCCTACCACAACAAAGCATAAAGCATTTTGGGATGGACCAGTGACTGCACAATGAGGAAACGCTCTGACAGTTTCTGACGGCATCTCCCCATTCTCTCTGGATCCTACCCTTTCAGAAGTACGTGCCAAATTTGTCATGCTTTTCCATTTCTGCCCAGATTCTTCTTAAAACCCTGCCCTAGCCAAACCCTTGCAAAAGAAATCATGTGTTTTAGTCTATGCTTACTCTTTGAGGCTCTGCTTATAATGTGAATTGTAAAGCATCAGTAAAGAAGTCATAGTGGCAAATCATGCCATTTTTTTTTTTAGCCAGGATGGCATTCACATATTACTAGAAAAATAGTAGTAGCGTAAAACGCAATTTCTTCAATACACTTTAAGCAGCTTGGCTGTTCTGTTTGCAATAGCAATCCCTTGGTCAATCTCAAGCTATTCCACAGTGTGCAGAATACTGAGAGTGGTAAATATTTGCAGAGCGGTTACTTTCAAGGCAGGAGATTACATGAAGTACCTGGAGATTTACAGAATAACTCCGTCAGCTCTGCAAGCTGCCATCTAACAAAGCCAAACTGTTGTTCTTTAAAATCCAGGCTGATGTTTCTTAGGACAAACATGAATATATTGACAGATCTCCCTGTCAATTTATGTTTTGGCAAAATGTAAATATTTTTTGTATTTGAAATTGAGACAACCAGAATTTTACTCTTCTACAGAAGGCTTTGAATGTTCTGTTTTAAGAAGAAATGGCGTGAATCCGAGTTTGGGCTGTGTGTAAATTTACACGCTTAATAAAAAGGGTGAATTTTATGTGGATTTTGTGAAGCCAGTACAAAAGTATTTCAAGATATTTAAATGCATTTCAGTTTGGTTAACGTCAGTTTGTCTTATCTAAGCAAAAGTAAATACGACTGTTCATTAAAAGTGCATCAGTTTTGGACCAGAGCTTGTGTAACTGACTGTCCTTTAGACATCTGCAGTCTGATAAGCTGTGCTGCAACAGGCCTGCATGAACTGGCTGCACACTGATATCCAGCAGTTTAAAGTTTTACATTTGAAATAGATCCTAAAAGCTATTGTAATCCACTTTGTAATCCTATCAGTTTTGCTGCTTTTGTGGTGTTTTGTTTGTTGTTTTTTAACCTGATAAAATTTAATTCGTTAGAAGAGATCCATTGGTTTTATGTGATGTATTTCAAATAGTAAAGGCCTTCTTATCACTGAAAACTCATTCCATATTTTTACCTGGGGAGCCTTACAAGACCAGTTGTAGCAGCTATTCTGACCCAACAGCTCCACCTGTTGTGTTTATAGCATCAAGTTTGGGCTTTTTAACTTTTTTTTACACTAGAACTGAAATTGACTTGGTCTTTCTTATAGAGTTCTGGACATTTAGAAATATGTATGATTTTTCCTGAATTTATTGAAGTGACGATGGTATTGAAGAGCAGATGATGATGCTTGCTGAAAAAAATCAAGTAATGCAAATAGAACAGAGGGCAAGTTATAGAGAGCTCACTTACGTAGAACTTCAGTTGTCTTTGACATCCAGCCAGGGATTCAGCTCATTAAGAGTCAAAGCCAGTCATTAAAAGACAAGATTCTGCTCCTCTCCAGGCAGCTTACTTACGCAGTCACTGCTCAGTTGTAGCCAGTCTCCTGCCTACAGATATATGCTGAGCTGAAGAAACTCAAAGTCTAACTGTGGAGCAAACCACTTTCTCACCTGAGCACCAATAAAAGTAGGGAAAGAAAAGGCTTTGCTTGCGGATGGCAGCAGCTGGAAACAACCATATCTGTGACAACTCAATGGCTAGGAATTCAGAGTGGTGCTATAAACCATGGCTAAGCTAAAACTTCAAACTTAAGTTTCCCAGGCTGACCTACCCAGGACCATTCTGAGAAAGGGAGTAGGCAAGGGATGATTTCAAGACTCTCAAGGATCCCATGTGTGCCAGCCTGAATGGCTGAATATTCTGCAATTAAATTGCTGCCCCTGTATGCTGTCATGTGCATGGCTGCAGAGGACCCAGATACCTTGGAAGCAAAAAAATATACTTGCTTCAGACAAAAGAAGCAACAGGCACAGCATCAGCTCTGGTTAAAGTCTTGCCTTGAAAAATCTAACTCTGGATCCAGCTGGTTGCTGTTGGTGGTGTGGTTTATTGAGATGAGCTGCACGACACTTCAAATGATGCTCCCCTGTGCTTATCACAGTCACTTTCGCTGCTGATAAAGGAGTTCTCGGTTTTGTTTAGTGAAATGTATTTGCCAACTGTTACTCTTAAAATAGTCCTGCATGTGTGAAGGCTATCCGACATTTTTCTGTCTGCTAAGATGTATTTTTATTTACAGCCAAATGGGGAGTTCAGTCCCTCTTTGCTTTTTGGCTAGCCCAAATTTGAAAAAATTATGGATTTGTGTTTTGTTCCTGTAGTATATGAAACTGGCAAAAATACTGACCTAACTCCATGTCCTTAATAAAAAAAAAGGCTTTTCCTAGAATATGTATGTATAAAAAAGACTGTAACTCTGTGATTATTTTATTTTCTTCATAAAGTTGTCATCCTGCCTGTAAGATCAGTTTACAATTGGAAAAGACAGCATTTAAAGACTGGTTCTGTAACAAGAAAAACATATGGTCTCCATAATCATTACGTTTTTAATGATGTGGCTTGGAAAGAGTCATTCATGGCTTGTAGAGTCATTCATCCTCGAGAACTGCCTTACCTTGGGGAGGTATCATTGACTGTCTCCAACATACCATGAACATTCCTTCATAAGAAAAGACAAAGCCAAGCATATTGTATTTTCTCAGATGACAGCCTTGCTCAGGCTGCGTGCATACCTCTTTTAAATACTCAGAGGCTGCCCGTGGAACAGCAGTTGTTCACATCTGAGCTTTCTTTGGGGAAAAGAGAAGTCCTTGGAGAAGCTTGGGTCAGGGAAAGATTTGTTATCCAGCAATAGTTATTGGCAAGTGCAGGATGACTGAAAAAGCTGTGTACTTCCATCATACTTTCCGTACTTTTTCCATGCTGCAAACATTTCACTGCAAGAGCAGTTACCACCATAAATCAGTTGTACTGTAAACAATGGAGGCCTTACTATATAGAGACTGTCCAAATTGCAAAATGGTTTGGTTGTTTTTTTTTTTTTCCCCTGTCTACTTATGAATTCTTTACAAAAATAATGTGACCTGAATTTTTAGTTTAGGGCTGGGACCAGGAGAATTACTTCAGCGGGCCATGAATAAGATTCTGGTCTTACATTCTCAGCTATTTGTCTTATTGTGCCTTTACCTGGGAAACAGTGATGAAAGAAATCCTGCCCGTACACTTCTTGTGTTGACAGCTCTTTGGTAAATCAAGAACAGCCATCTTCTCTTAAGATCTTTTCTTTGTGGATGTGAGTTTGTTTCTAATCTAATGTGACAAAACTGTGATTTGTATTAAAGTCCAGAGCAACGTGAATATTATTTTCCTATTTGGATGCTTTCTTGCAAAGTATTTACAAAGCTTTTCGACTCTTGATTCTAAAGGCACAACAAAGCATAATCTAATTTGCACTTGGGACAGGACACAAGTCAGGACACTGTAAGGTTGGTAATTTTAAATAATACCTTTTATAGCTTCTATCTTAAGAGTAAACCCAGTCAGAATGAACAAGATGTTGAGAATTTTTTTTGTTCTTTCCCAAGGAAGGAGAATGAAGCTTTCCCCTACAACACACAACGTTTGCCCCACACACTCAGTTCAGGATCACTGCACCCAAAGGACTGCTTTTCTGTGTTTCAAACTAGAATCAGGGCGAATGTGCTGTGCCTGTCCCCAGAAATGCAGGCACCCCAAACAGACAGGACCACGATGAGTGAAACCAGGGGCAGACAAACTGCATAAATAAGTTTGAGACGCTTCTACCTTCAGAGCAACGATGGCCATCCTGGCCCCTCAGCCCTGTCCCTCTCACCTAGCACTACCAGTGCTGACCTGTGCTTGTCCAGTCTGACCTAATCTCCTAAAAATGCTTTGTCTCACTCATCAGAGTCTAAGATGCACTTTTCCTTCTGTGATGGTGATTTCCTAGCCTAGTCACTCCATGTTCTTTACATGCACAAACGTGAGTGCAAAGGGATAAACCTGCCCTGAATGAGCTCAAGTTCACCCTCTGCACATTTATCCTAGAAGCTAATTTGTGACCGGGCCCAGTTTTTGTTTCTGACATCTTTCTTTTGGTGGCAGTTAGGGATTTCAAAAGGCCAAGCATCCCCCTGTGCTACATATATACTGATTTATATTTCCTACCCTAATGGCTTTACCTTTGTGTCTGCTTCCACAGCCATGTGCAGGCTGAGTGGTGTTTATTTACTTATGTAGTCTTACTGAATTTAATGTGAGCTCTTGTACATTTCTAAGCCACATTTCAGCCTACCCTGTAGCACCGAGTTACTTCAGAGAGTAACTGATTCCTTCAGGCTGCTGCACTGCTCCAGTCTGCCGCTGCTGCTCCTTTTCACATCCCTCTGGGGCTTTTCCTCTGTTGTCCTCCAGCTCCTGAAGATCTCCCATTACATCACAGGCCCGCTGCATGTTGTCGTTTCTATCTCTTCAGCACGTGTGCAGAGCTGAAGCTGGCAGGACCAGAGAACCACCATTATTTTGTGCAAGCTTCACTCAACTGGGAATACTGGTCGACTCTTACTGCTGTGGCAAGGTAACATATTTATTGGACAAAAATCAGTTTGCTTTCTATGGACATTCTGCTTGCTATGCTTTTGTGCTTTTGCCTATGGCTTTGAGTTTGGCAGTGCCTAATGCTGCCAACCTTAAATTTATCTGGCAGTGAGTGCACAGACTATTAGTCATACAGAAACCCCCAGCATTACCCCCACTCTATCATAGCTCCCCATGTGAACGATGGAGACAGAGTGAAGTCCAAAGGGAATAAGTTAACTAATCTTGCACAACAGGATTCTGTAAAATGATATTGTGATAGCAAAAAGACACGTAAATGCACCTCAAAATAAATAAGCTCCAGATTTTCACTGCACAGAACTTCTGACATGCTTCTTTTAACATTTCTTGTTTTCTATTCAGCAAATAAAAACACAGCACTAATGAGTCATATTTTGCTGAGTTATTATGTAATCCTGAAGGCAGTTTGTTTTAATTTCCACTTGGATAGGATACTTTTCCACTTACACATTATGTAACACTCCTTATAAAAATAGAGGCCCGGTCTTGCAAACACCTTGGAGTGTTCCTGTTACAGAATGAGACTTGTGACCAGTGCAGTTCTCACACCCTCTCATTATGTTTATAATATCACAAAACATTCCCCTTCTATCTTAAAAAAAAATCATCATTCTTCCTAAATTTTAAATAATATTTCTTCTTCTTTTATTTTTTTTCCTTTTCTTTTGGAGCTTGATGGGCATAGATACATATGTACACTTGAATGCTTACTTTATGTTGATGACAGATCTTGCTTGTTACAAAACTTGATTTGAAATCCTTGTCCTGTTGCTAAATAAGAGCACTTGAGAAATTCATTATAAACATACAAAATATAAAATGCTTTATATCAGGCAGTTTGCATTTAACAGAACGCACACGGCTTATAACAAAGAAGAAAAAATACTTGAGATACATAGCGTTACTGAAATAGGTGGCAAGGTCAGCAGCACGAGAGTCAGGAAATTAAAAGCCATGGCTTCTCCAGCTACAACCTACATTCAGCACGGGCAGGATGCTGTTTGCTAAGTGCGTGTGCTTGCAGATTGGTGATTGACACTGAGAAAGAAATACATACTCTTCGTCATGACATTTATAACATTTGCAGAGTATGGACTTCTTGGGGGTTTTTGTTTGTTTGTTTGTTCCGTTTTAATGAAGTCCAAGACATCCAATGTGGCAAATCTTAAAAATCATTTCACGTTCCACATTCTCAAGCTCCTGGATTCAAATAACCTAATTTGAATTGTAAAAAAGTAAAAAATAAAATAAAATAAAGGGGGGAGAGGGGGGCAAGAACGTGAAAGAAAAATGGAAAATAGATTTGGGCACTAATTTTAAAGCAAATAAATCCTACGACAGCTGCCTTAAAGTACAGGAATGCAATCCAACAGTGCATTACAGTGCTGCTTTGGCACATGAAGACTTCTTTATTGAAGATGTTGAATGATAACTACCAACACAAATATTTAATTTCCTATAAGTTGCAGACATAAGCCTCAGCCTTTTTAATTGCCAGAACACTTGGAGAGACAGTCTCTAAACAGTCATTTAATACTTTCACTTGTGTGTGTGCTTGTTTCCATCCAACTAGCCAGCTCTTCATCTTTGTGAATGTTTTGCTGCCTGTGAAAAGTGTTGCTCAGCCAGAGCTTGTGTCAAAGGTTTTCCCTGCACTGATTATATGGAGGCAGCAGGACTTTTCTAGGTGCTCTGCAGAACACAGTATGGACGCCGAGTACCCGTGGGAATATGTACCTCAGTGTCCATCACAAGGCATTACCTATTACACAAGAAACTACAGCTTTTCCCTTTTTTTCTTTCTTTTTTTTCTTTTTTTCTTTTTTTTTTTTAATATATAAATTCAGGCATGTCACCAGTTCATGCGCAGTGAAGAATGCGTGGATCCCAGTCCAGTACAAGATGGTGACTTCATACCAGCATGCGAACCTCCACCAGAAAGCCAGTAGGTGAGAGTGCACCCTCAACAAGTTTGTAGACACCAACCAAGCCGAGCGGTGCAGTTTGTATGACAGAAGGAAGAAACACACACTATCCAAGGGGCCTCGGCAAACTCCAAAGGTTGGTCCATCATGAGGTTCCATAAAGCCAAGCGCAAGGTGTTGCACTTGGAGTGGGGCAATGCTAGATAGGAGTACAGACTGGGAGAAGAACTGCTTGAGAGCAGCCCTGAGGAGAAGAATTTGGGAGGGGTCTGCTGGACAAAAAGCTGGACACAGCCAGCACTGTGCTCTTGCATCTTGGAAGGCCAGCTGTATCCTGGGCTGCATCAACAGAGGGGTGAAAGCAGAGAGGGGGAGGGGATTGTCTGCCCTGGTGAAGTTCCATCTGGAGTACTGTCCCCAGCACAGGAAGGACGTGGAGCTCTTGGTGTGGGTCCAGAGGAGGGCCACAGAGATGATCAGAGGGCTGGAGCACTTCTCCAACAAAGACAGGCTAAGGGAGTTGGGCTTGTTCAGTGGGGTGAAGGGAAGACTCTGGAGAGACCTCATTAAAGCCTTCAAATATTGAAAGGGACGTTTTAAGCAGAAGGGAAAACAACTTTTTACACAGTCTGATGGTGATAGGACAAGTGGGAATGGCATTAAAGGAGGGGAAATTTAGAATAAATGTCAGGAGGAAGTTTTTCAGTGAGGGGCAGGTAGGGTTGAGGCACTAGCACATGCTGCCCAGGGAGGATATCCCAGAAGTGCTCAAGGCCGGGCTGGATGGGACGCCAGACAGCCTGATCTGGTGAGTGGTAGGGGTTGGAA